ATTCATGTTTACTTACACTGTTCTGTAAAAATGAAACAAGATTTGTTCTTAAACAAGTCTAAACTCCGAACATAGTTCCATCTTAAGAGGGCTTGGATTCTATACAACAAGTTGTGAATCTACTATACCTTTAAGAAAGCTCCCCAACCAGAAACATCAGATATTCCAAGTAATACCTGAATTCACAAATAAAAAAAGAAGCAATTTCATTTTTGATCTTTAAACATTTGATGGCTTCTCCTAGTTATGCAATAGTTAACAAAGGTAAGTATTTACCCTTTGCTGTTGTTTCAGGAGTAATTTCATATTCCTGCACTCATAATTATCACCTCTTTGGCTAGGGACCCCAAGCGTACCATCCCCGCCACTGCATATTCAGATTTATTAAGACACAGTATTAGTGCATATCCAGAAAATAGCAATGTGTTGTGATCCTGCTCTAAGCAACCAATCAGTACACCAAGCCAAAGCGTAAACATTTGCATCGCCAATAGACTTACATGACCCAGCAATTCCTACAAACATCAGGATCACATTCCCGATCAGCAGCAAAGCACGGACATTGACGGCTCCGACACTGGCTTTTAGCACAATGACAACCTCTAAACCTGTTCTTGCAGCTCTTTGGGCAACTACACAGGAAATAAAGGATGTTGGTGTTGAAATTCAAGGCTAGAAATATAGATGTGGATGATCTTAGATTAACATTTACCCGCAGTACTTCTCGCAGCAAGTCCCGTTTAGCAAACAAGTACATTCTTTCCCACAAGCAGTTTTGCAGTTGCATGGATTAAATTGACGGCACGGCTGGTCTTTCTTATCAGTACTTTTTTTCCTAATTGAATGATATGCAGCAGATTTCCAAGTATACTTCAACCGGCGCACTTTCCCTCTTCTACGTAGAAATCTTGACCTTCTCCTCACTTGGTTATTAGTCTGGTTCGTCCAACAACTACAGTATTAGTTCTGCCGAGAAATAAATGCATTATAATAGGAATATATGTAGGATTAAAATAGCATTATACCATATTTCCATTGATATCGAACTTGGACGAGCCATCGGGATTCAATGCGTCACATCCAAAGAAGGAAGCTTTATTTTCCGAGCAAGTCATGTATTGGAAGACCTCCCAACACGACTTGAGACCACACAGGAGGTTTCTAGCAATCATGCAGCTACGAAGAAAGAAAGAATTAATAACGAATATATCCTACAGACTGAGAAACCTGGCACGGAATGAGAGTTTAGCAGTAGTTAACTGCATCTTTTACCTATTCATTCCAAAAATCTCAACACCTTTTTGGAAAAGGCTTTTCTCAAGTGGTTTCCACGATTTATCTTCAGACAGTCCTCCTGGACATACATTTTCACCCACAAACTCGTCTTTTCTTAAACTTCCATCGCTACACGGTTCAGATGCAACCGCATTTAACTGAGAAACAGGATCGTCACTCTTCACAGAATTCTTGGAGTCTTCTACAGGAGTGTCATTCTTTCTTGAATTCTTAGAGCTCCCAGATTTTACATGCTTCTGAGAAGAGGATGTAGCATCTTCATTATCTTTGAGTTTAACATCGCTTGCTGAACGGCTCCCAGTGGCGATGGAATCAGTATCCGAAGCTTCCGACTTCTTTTGCCTCTTTTGAGTCCTACGAGACACTCGCTCCGCAACTCGGTTGTTGTTCCTCTTACGACCTCCACGTCCCCCACTAGCTTTCACCTTTGATGATGATGAAACTTTCTCAGGATTCGTATCCTGCTGAACGCCGTTCTCTGAGTCACTTGTTTCTGGCGTGCATTTTTCATTAGACGACGCACTTTCGCTAGGGAAGGTCTTTGATTTTTTCCTGTTAAGTTTTCCGGAGAACTTGGATGTGGTTTTAGTACCGGCACCATTTGATGAAGTGCCAGTTTTATCTTCAATGGTGCCATTTACTGGAATTCTATTAGATTTGAGAAGCTGAAAGAATGAAAACAATTATTTTCATCAAGTCAGCCTTTCTAGGAGATGAGCTTAGCTACGTGGATAACTCAAATTTACCGTTTTATAGCAGTTTGCGCCACAGGTTAAATTTTCATCAACAGGAGGAGTCCACGGAGCTGGTTTCTCAGCCTAAACATTCACAAAGTACAAATAAGTAACAACGAAGTTATAAATAAAGATCAATCATTTGGCCCTAACTCACCGGAAATATAAGGTCCTGCGAACACCCGTGCAGCCGGCAATCAAACACCTGCATAGTTGCATGATAAAGTTCAAATATATAACTCTTGCTAGATCATTAGGTAATAACCATTCCTTGAATTATCTGAGAAATTAAATGGACTAACAAGGCATCGACGGCAGAACAGGTTATCGAAAGAATCCAATGCTCCATCCATATCTTTGTTAAGAAGAGAACTCGCTGCTTGATTGTCGCCACTCTCTGATACTTCTTTTTCCTTCATAAGCACTTCATATCTTGCCTGTATAAGATGTTCGGTGTTCATATCTCTGCAAAAAGCCAATGGGGAAATGGCTGGAAGAAAACTAATAGGATTTCTTTAAACAATGCATCACTCACTCTGTTGTCAAATCCTACATTTGAAGTGCTATGGATTCTAAAAGAAAATAGGACGTGATAGTTTATACCTTTATTTCACTAGAATTTCTGGACAAGAAATTTGCTAGTTCCTCCAGGACAGAGTCTGAAAGACCTAGTTGGTCAAGGGTCATGCTGAAGAAATGAAAGGAAAATGAAACGAAATAAGTGAGAGTGAAAATGTATTAACAATGAACACTCAGAGTTTAAAATGTAACTACACGGCAATGATGAACGATTACTTTGATGCTATTCTATCTTATATATTACTAACCGAATAATAAAATCCTCAGGCTCCACAAAACCTCTTTTTTCATCTTCCTCATCAATGGCCTCCTCTTCACTATCACTGCAAATGAGTGCTTCCCCGCCAGTTTGATCATAATAAATCCTCCTTCGACCCACTACAGACTGGTCTTCAGTCATCCTCTGATTCCTGCATCATTTTCCAACAGTCACATAAATGTCAACATATACAACAAGGACTTGTGTCTCAAGCACATACCTATCCAGAAACACCCATGTGGTATAAGGCGACAAACGTTTCACATCAGGCATTTTAATTGGCCGAAAGGAAATCTTAACAGGGACACTGGATCCTTGCACCGCCGTTGAAGTTGAACTAACATTATTTCCATCTTCTAAAAAGCTGCTATGGTTGTTGCTCTTATCCGCATCACTTCCGCTTTTCGTACCAGGGGAATCTCTTTGCATCTTAACTAAGAGATCACTGCCGTCTTTATAGCTACTACCACCTCCTCTTTCCACACACGACCTCATAAATGATTGAGTAACGCCACGCAGATTCTTCTTGTTCTCATCAATCCTTTTCTGGTCAAAACGAATCAAACAATCAGTAATAAAGAAACCAAAATGAAGATACTAATGAGAAGTAAGCAAGATTAGACCTTAATTGAGATGCAACGATCAGCAGCAAGCTTCTTCTTAAGCGAATCTATCACTGCAGCTACTTCCTTAGAACCTGGAGCTCTCTTCTCCGCCTGAGATGTCTACAAATGATACAAAAAGAAATCTAAAACAATCAAAGGCAAATTCAATGAACTTAAACATCAATGCAGTAATCTCTAGATCCAAAGTTAGATTCGGTTCTCTTATAGTCAATGCCTCAAATAGAACAAAGGAGAAAGTTTCTATTTCGAGAAAGAGAGAGAGATGAGGCACCGTGGTATCTTTGTGCGGGTCCGATCTGGTGGCGGAAGAAGAAGGCGAAGCTCCCGACGCCATGGTGGAGGAACCAGATCGGAACCGAGGAGAATGCGCGCTCGGGTCGGGTCGCGAATCGGAGAGGGAGGAGAGGAACTTGGCGGGTCGTATAAACCCTAAGAAAGATTATCTTCGATTTTATTTTATTTTTATATTTTGTTCGGATTAGAGAATTGAGATTGAAATTGTTCAGATGGTTTTAAAAGAACATTATTAATTAGCTGTTTTGAATCGGGAAGCGTGTATATTAGTTACTTTTTTTTGTTGTTGTTTGATTATAAATTAAATTAGATAAAATAAAATAAAGTTGGTGGGAAAATAGTGACGTGGCAGGTCGATTTGAAATATCTACTGTTGATTGGCAAAAGTGTTTCTCCGGCGACGGGACGGTGCTGGTTTTTCTAAACAAGAAAGAAGCATAACCTCTTTTAACGTTTTTGTGACAAAAGAAAAAAAAAACTCTTCGGACGGTGCTGGGCTCAGAACTTTCATGGGTTAAAATAATCCTAATTTTCTAAGCTTTATTCTAGGCTCACATTTTTCATTTTGCATGTAGAGTAAATAGTTATTCCTTTTTTTTTTTGTAAAGAGTAAATAGTTATCCAATGTTCTAAATGGCGCCTGAGCGACAAATACCAAATATTCTTTTAAAAAAAAATTGGTCTAAACATTAAACACCCGATTAAACAAATTTTTGATTCAGCTAAATCTCAGCCTCCTAAACATTTGAGTCTAGCTAGGCGAAGCCACCTTATGTGGAGTGGTGGTATGTGCACCCATAATTATCTTAAAAATCTAACATTTATAGCTAAAAACATAAAGATTTTAGTCAATTAAATGGTAAAAGTGAGCTTGTGCTCCATAATAAGGGACCCTCCATAATAACCCAAGTTCAAACTCATATATGCACTTTTAACCTTTATTACCAATAATGCACCCACTAAATAAATACTCTAGATTCGCCCATGGCTACCACCTAAAGATTTTTTGAACATTGGGTTATGCTATAGCAAAATCTCAGCCTCCTAAACATTTGACTCAGCTTCTCTAGCATATTCAAAGATAGAGGTAGATAAATTTCACATTGACTTGGTTTATTCTATAGAAGTCATTTGTGGTCTACTTCGTGACTTGGCATGAAGCAAGGTTCGTGACCTCTTACAATTACATTGGTGAAGATGAGCCCGGGTAAGCGGGTATGATAAACCCTGCCAATGATAGATACATTGGATCAAAAGATTACTTTACTGTATCTTTTATACATGCTGCCAAAAAATTCTACGAAAATGACAGTTTAGTTTGCATAGTAGGAGGAACATAAAAAGATCAAATGGATTAGATGACATTATAATAAGTAGTATATAGGTGACACCATCTTCTTAGATGGTAAATGGATTAGGAAGCTTGATGGTCTTACTTTTCTTTTTCCTCCCCAACAGCTTTCTCCACAGGCTCTTAGCTCCGTTGCTCTTTTTCTGAGGAACAATGGCAAAACAGTTTGATTCAGAACTTTTGCTCTTTTCTTTGTCTGACAGAAGAATCTGTTCCAATGCCTCAATGGTTTCATTGTAAACAGAACTGCCTCCCTTTCCGACTTTATCTGTTTCTTGAGGTTTATGCTGCTCCTTGGATTCTCCATTGTCGTTATCCTCTGCCTTCATTTGTTCCAAAAGAGATGATCTTTGAGTGGTCAGTCTCTTCTCTGGTTTTGTCTCTTGTGAAGGTAGTGCAGTAGTAAGGTCAGGTGTGAGGTTGTCTGTTTCTTTTGAGTTAGTCAATGCTTTGAGCTGCTTTCCCAGGTTTAGTATCGTCTCTTGACACTCTGCTAACTTTTCAGAAGCAGCAGTGATCTCCAGTTCCTGAATCATCATCAAACACAGAAGACAATTAAACCTCTCATTTGTCAAAAATGTAAGAATCTGATCTTGTGCTGGTTACTTACAGTTCGCATGTTTTGTTTCTCCTCCAGCTTGAGATCTTTCGCTGAAGCACTGCAACAAGAATACCATTGGACGCATCAGAGAAGATAAGATCGAAGTATTCAATCATTCAGACTTACCTTGCTGTCTTGTCCTTTGTATCTTCTTCAACCTTCTTGTGATTGCCAGGTTTTTCTACAATCAGCTGATCATCTGTCTTAAGCTTCTCTGCTTCTGAGATCTGACCAAATACTCCAATATCAACTTCACTTCCACTCCTTGACTCATCCCATTCAAACTGCTTTTTGATCTCTTCTCTCATGCTTGAAACATCTTGAAGAGAGAAACAATGGTTCACCAGCCATTCCACTACAGAGCTTAACTCTTCAGCAAACTTCTTCATGTCTGCTTTTCTGTCCATTAGATCGTAACAGGTCTGGAGAAATCGCTGCAGTACACTACTTAGCTCTGTAGTTTTCCATTGCAAGACACGAGCAGTGTAGCCTGAAAGCCTCTCATCTTTTAAGCTGACTCCTTCGATAACTTCAACAATTCTGCGAATGGACTTGGTGATCTCACACTCCGTGTCTGGTGATGAGCCTTCCACAGTGAGACTCTCGGTCTGTTTTAAGCTTGGGTGGTTTACACCTGATAGAGCTTGTCTGATCTCTTCAAGTACTTCATCAGTGTTCCTCTGCGTAACACGCTTATGTTCCGTAATCGCTTTCAAGACAGTATGAAGAGATTGAGGTAACTTGCTCGTTGAATCTGACTTGACATCTTTGGGAGTTTTTGTTGCCTCTGATGAATCTTCATTAGATTCGTTCTCTACAGGACCAGTAGCTGAAATGGAATCAGAAGAGAAGATAGGAGAGCTTGTGACCATTGCAAGCTTCTCCATTTCAGCAAAGTCATCCATTAGTTTCATCTCTGAAGCTTTAGGGGTTCCAACCAAACTTGAACCCCTTTGCTTTTTGTTCTTGACATTCTCCAGCTCTGAAAGCAAAGCAGAAGCCCAAGAATCAGAACAGCTAACTTTATCATCATGGTCAAACTCTGACAATGATGCAAGAGAGACTTCATGTGAAACATTGCTGCTCCTGCTTGGCTCAATGTTTGTTGTTCCTTTAGAAGATTCCTCGAATTCTAGTAGTCTAGAAGCTGTTCTAGAATACATAGTTCTTGAGAACTGAAGCTCGTTGACTTTCTTGTTTAAAGCATCCCTCAGAGTCTTGTTCTCTTCTTCCATTAAGCATAGTTGCTCAGTGAGGTTATTGATCATGGCGCCGTTAGGGCTTCCACTGACTCTTCTGCTTCCCAACATCTCTACTTCACTTCTCATTTTGGACATAGCAGCAGGTCCAGGTAACCGTTTCCTGACAAGTACACGCAACCGTTGACACTCTTGTTCTAGCTTTGCAACTTTCTTCACATTCTCTAAGTGAAGCTTATGAGATGCTTCAGCGGTTCGACGACCAAACTCTCTCTCTTCATTCCGAAGCTCAAGCTCTTTCTCCAGCACTCGGACTTCATATCTCAACGAACCGTTTTCTTTGTCCTTTGACTCTAAACTACTCACCAAAGCATTGATATCAGCGTGGAGGCGTTCTCTCTCTCTGTTTAGATCTTCAACAGTTTTGCTCTTTGCTAACAAAGCCTTGGAGAGTTGAGTATTCTCCCCTTGTGATTCTGCAAGCTTCTTACTAGTATCTGCCAGTTCCGTCTTTATAACCATCAATCTCCGTTCGTGTTCCTGTGATGCTTTTGTTAAAGCATCATGCATCCTTCGCTCCTGCTCGTCCCGGACAAAGCGAAGCTGCTGCATACATTCTTTTAGACCAGCATCGGTGTGGCTAGACCTCTCATCGCTCATGTGTTTCTCATTCAAAGCTTCTTCTAGCTTCTTCTTGAGAGATGCTGATTCAGCTTTTGCCTTCTCCCAACCTAGTAAGCAAAATTGAAATGTAAGAAAAAGGTCTATAGATTGATTCAGAACGGCATAAGATTTTAGTAAAGTTACCAATAATTGCTTCTTGTGTCTCAGTCTTATGCTTATTGCTCTCAGCTTGGACAGAGGTAAGTTTATCATTTAAACTTGTAAGGCGATTCACCAGCTCTGTCTTGTCGGCAAGAAGCTTCTCAATCTAATTTTAAGACCAATCAAGCTCATGATCAGAACTATTAGCTGAGACAACCTAATCAAAATCAATGTTGTTTAAAAATACATTATATCTTAGCAAAATAAGCTTGGCGGGATTTACTTTTGTCAAATAAATTACCAAGATAGACAAGCAAAACCTCAACACAGATCACACTCTGATACTTTATTACTAACCATATAAACATGTCTCTAGAAGGTACATAAATGAGCAAAAAAAGATCCATTTTCCAACCTAACAACAAAACATAAATGTAATCATCAATATCCACTTACCTCTCCATTGGAGTAGATACCCCCATTGCTTTCAACAACTGTTTTCTCCATTGATTTCTTCTTCCAAGGCCATGCTTTATGATCCATCTCTTACCCCAACAAGCCACACAACTACTCTTGAATCTTTACCAATATCCTATAACACATATAAAAAAAAAAAGCAAAAAGAAAAGAACTTTTAGAAACCCATCTGCATAAATAAAATGAAAACCCAAATAAAAATCCCAAACTAGTAACAAATCTCCAAAAAATGCATAAAGCTAACTAAGTCAATGGCTTCTACATGCACTATCATACAGTAGATAAAACAAAACAGTTGATAAAAGTTGGAAACTTTAGAGAGAAAGCACATGACGAATCAATAAAGTCAAGATCTTTTTTAGCCACATTAAGAAGATTTTCAAGAAGAACAAAAAAAAACAAAACTTTCCTCACCTTAAAGGAGCGAAGTACACTCGCATCACACTACTCTCGGATAGCCTTGAGGAAACAACAATGGATGATTTAATAACAGAGAAGAGAAGACAAAGAAAGAGACAAATGAGAAAGGTTAAGGAAAAAAAGGGACTGTTTGGCAAAGTTTAAGATTACTCGAAAACAACTGTAAGAGAGAGAGACTGTAGAGTGAGAGAGGATGTGTCGGGTACGATCTGATCCAAATGGGCCACGTACGTTTAATGAACGTTGGATCCTTCGAGATTAATTTAATGGTGGAAACACAAACATGTTTATGAATCTCATGGACCTTGGAAATCTAATGTTTAAAAATTTTAAGCTGAGTTTGATCCAAAAAAAATTTAAGCTGGTTTGTTTATTAATTTTTTATTAACTTTTCTTTTTAACCAAAGATTGATATTAGGAAATGCGTTTATTCTAATATTTAAAACGTTCAGCTTATAGTTTATTAATTCTTTTCTAACTGAAAGAGTGATTAGTAATTAACTAATTAGTAGGAATGCTTTTTGCTTAATGAATAATTAATTGAGTTAAGTGTGCAGTCTAATCAACTTTTACAATTTGCTTTTGTAGTTTACTCCCTCCGTTCCATAATATAGGATGTTTTATCCAAAGCACAAGAATTAAGAAACTTAAATTTTCAAAAGATAACATCATTGATAGTATAAATTTAAAATAAATGAACCAATCATAAATAATAAACTAAAATATTATTGGTCAACCGGTTTTCTATAAAGTTAAAGTACCTTAAAAATATCAAAACATCTTATATTTTGAAACATCAATTTTCTCTAGAACATCTTATATTATGGAACGGAGGGAGTATTTCTTTACCTTACCATCGCTATCTTAAAATTTTGAGGTTGGTGTCTTTTTAAATGGAATTTAGTTATAAACTAATAACTAGCTTATGGAATAAATAATTTTCATTTTGTTAAAATGAACCCAACAACAAAAATAGTATATGTCCCGTTATTATTATAATATTGTTACACAATTTCAAACTGTGATGTTATTATTTACTATCTTGAGTTCATGTTTTATATCTCTTAAATATTTATTTGAGTATTATTGGATTGGTTTCTGTTCGGGAACACGCTTGGCGCTACTTAGATGTTAAAGTTGAACTTAGCGCTTAGAGAAAAAATAGGGAATTAAGAGAAGATTATATAGGGTAAAAATTTAAAATTATTTGACATATTATAATATTTAGTTATGTATAACATTAATACATTTTTATGTTTAGAACCGTATAAAATACATAAATAAAATATATAAATTTAATATGGTATAATTTTTAATAAAATTATGAATATAAATTATATTTATCTAATTTTAGATAAAATAAATAGATAAAAATATTATTAAAAAGTAAATTAAATAAATACATTAGATGTCCGCCTAGGCGGCTAGACAGTTATCTAGACAATTTTGATGGTTTAAAGAGACTAAAATCGGACATCTAATTTTTTTTATCAATTTGGCATAAATCGAGATAGATGAGACTTGTCTAACGTTTAGACGGTCGATTTTTAGAACAAAAGATCGGTCACCTAAATCAATAAACTGTTAATTTGTTTTTGGAGCTTCTTCATCAATTGAATATTTCAAATGATTGTTTGGACTAGAACTAAAACAAAAGAAAAAAAAAACTCACAACCCCCCCCCCCCCAATCACTCATTTTCTCCTAGTCTTTTTCCCCTACCTTTCTCTATTCTCTCTTTACAAATCTAATACATGTTTTTGGTTATTTTCACAAATAAACCTTAGAACTAATGTGGTTAATGATATAAAAAATATACATGTTATTACCTCTTTATTGCTTCATCTTAAAAACACCACCATTGTGAATAAAAGAAAAAAACATAATCAATTTTAATATGTAGATTATATTAGTTTATAGAGGAATTAGGATATGACATTATTTGTTTTTCCTTTTACATATTTTTTATGTAGGACTCTTCTTGTTATGAAAGATGCCTTACCTTTAACCAACATTGCTTAATTTTCCCATAAACATACTACTTTTTGCTAATTACTTCATTAGAAAGCATACGACTTCTTTGTTTAGAAATGACCTCATAATGGGTCGAATTAAAGATGTAATTAGCCAATTAAGCTTTAGGTGATCAGTCTTTGTATATGTTTAATAACACTACTCAGAAACATGCGCTCGGTCTCTAGGATACTTCTCATCAGTCGCAACTTTCGTGTCACTTCAATCTAATTTAGTTTCAATCAAATTTCTTATCAAAATCTCTTGTAAGTTTTCTTTTAGAGCTTTTATTTATGTGGTCTGCTAAATGCAATCAAAATCATGTTAGATGCTTTGGGACGACATGTTTTTAATACAGACAGAATGGCGTTTTTTTCTTTTTAAACCAAAATAGCATTATAGGAGATCATATATAGGGACTTTTTGCCAAATAATCAAGAAAATTAAGAAAATTAAATTTTGGGAGAGAGAGTAGCTATAGGGTGCATTTGTGTTTTTTCTGTATATAGGGTACAATTTCCCTTAATATATATATATATTAAAAAATAAAAAATCATGGGCATATATTAATTATTATTTAGAATTCAAATGATTGAGTCAACATTAATAATTTTAATAAATATGGGTGTTCAACACTTTAAATATTGATAAGTTAGGTCATGGATCTTTTTAGATTTCATTTTAAGTTTTATATTCCTTTTGTTTCATTTTATATATCATTCTACATTTTTCACACATGTTAAAAAATCATTAAATTTATCATTTTATCTTTATTTAATATATTGATTTCTTTTTTTTATTTTACTTAATGAACTAAAAAATAAAGATTAATTTGAAAAATAGTTAAAAATGTATTGAAAACATAAAATGACACTTAAAATAAAACAAACTTTAAATTTTGAAATGACAACTAAGAGCAACACCAACGCCGAACCTGTAGGACTCGATAACCAAGGTAAGCTTTTATATTATTTTATTCTTTTTATTTTTTTCAGATAAAAAAAAAATAAAAAAAAAAGAGAACAAATCATGGGATCCCACGTGGCGGTGGACCCATATACAGTGACGAACCTGATAGTGAATTGATCCTTAGCTAAGGCATACAAGAGGTTATAATGGCACGAATCCTTAAAAAGTTTGGGTCCCATATATTATAAAAATAATTTCTGGCTAAGGATTTCTTTTTAAGAGGCTGCGTTGCAGCTGCTCTAATACAAAACGGAGGAGCACGTTTTATGAGTTAATGGAAATAATAATTGATATTAAATTCAATATAACATAGGAGTAGTTGGTATAAGGGAGTATTTGATATTCTCGATTTGGACACTTGTCGTATGTCGATCTCATATGCATGTTACCGAATGTAAATTCGGATTACGAGATGTTGGTATTAATGCAACTATGCAAGGTTAAAACCTCCAAATGGTAAAATTATCAGATCTCAAGAAATATAAATTTATTAACCAACATACTTTTTTTGTAACAATGATGTTATTAAAAGACACAGTGAACTGTAATCCAATATATAAAAAAAAATCCTCAGCACTGGTTTGGCTAGATCGTCAGTTGAACCATTTTGAATATAGATGAAATGTTGAAACTAAAGTGTTCTCTTTTTTTTAAACAAAAAAGTATAGTAAGATATAAAATTTAAATCATGTGGAAACAAAGTGTGATGTAGATTATGAAAATATAAATTGAAAACAAACACCATTGTACATAGCCTAATGCACTCTTGTTACTCCTCTACAACTCTTCTTACACATACTTTTTAGATTATTAATATAAAAAAAAAAGTTTCCTTTTTAACTCCATGAGACATATTTTCAAGTTAACAGAGTATTGCAGGTTGATTATCAAGTATTTGGAAGATAAAACAAGCATTTATTAGATATGTAAAAAGACAATTTTGATTAAAAGTTGAGACTAAGGTAATTTAGGGTGGCCAAGTTAAATTTTTAGTTGGATTCTTTAACTTAAGAAATCCCCTGTATATTATTCGAGTATCTTTTAAATAGTTGTAACTTTAGTTTTGTACTAGATTTTTGATATGCGCTTAAAAAGTGATGGTACCATTTTTGTTGTTTTATCTACAAATGGATCAATAATTTTTTGGCTTTGATGATATAAAATGTTTTTGTCTAATATAACTTTCTAAAATTATTTTGTAGATTTTAATTTATTATTACCATCAATATCTATGTAAATATATTATATGTAATTGTGTAGCTTTATTTTAGAAAAATAATATCAATTAACTACATTTGGTGTTGGGAAGAGGGTCAAAATTTCCATGCTAGACCTGTCTCAAAGAAAATCAATTTGATCCGTATCCACCCCACTTAATTTTACGGATAATTCGTGGGACCTGTGGATAATTATAATAATAAAAATAATTAGCTTTTATTTTTTTCTAAAAATACTACTCCCTCTGTTCCTAAAAGATAGATTTTCTAGTGTTTTCACACATATTAAGAAAACACATTAAATCACTATCTTTTTTAGCAATTTTCAATTTTCAACAACTTTTAGCCAATAGTAATCTAATAAAACCAATTAATTTTTTTGAAACTTGTAATTTTCTCATAGAAAACATAGAATATACATCTTTTTGAAACAAAATATTTTTCCAGAACATGGATCTTTTAGGAACGGAGGGAGTATTAAATAGTATATTTTTAATTAAATTTTTATATTTATTTTTAAAAATAATTATTTTAAAAAAATTTAGTATATTTTTTAAAAAATAATTTTTTAAATTTTTTTCTCTTTTTTCAGATTACCGGATACCTACAATTGAAATTAGAACAATCCGCATCCGTCCCGCGTAAAATATATTTGACCTGCACCCGCACCCGTAATTTAGTTTTTTTCAAATATCGATTGATCCGTTCCGTGGTGGGTTGAATGTGGTAGAACCAACAAACTAATAATTAGAAGGGGAATTTGACCCATTAATAAAATTCATTAATATATAGTTTTTAGGCACATAATAAAAAGATCAAATTGTCATTAATGAAAAATTAAATTTGTTCATAATA